AATGGACAATCTACAACGCGGATGCTATATCTGATATATTAATAAATGACCGACTTGAATGGAGTAAAGATCATCATCAGCATCAGTGTCAGCATTAGGATCATCAATTGAGAAAAAGGTTCTAGTTGCTGCGTGCTGTTCAAGAGCGCAAAGGATCTTGGCAATTGGTCTCCTCACAAGCCCTCTTATGTGTGTTAATAATGCCACAGATAATGATGGATAAATATATAATAATTTTTTGTCAGATGCCACTTTATATTGCCAATTGGTTGTGGATTTTTCTTGTAACCATGATCGTGTGTATGATTTCATACATTCTAACAATCTTGGATACTTAAATATATTTGCACTCAAAATTCTGCACAAATATTTATGTTAGCATATCTGATATAATCTAAACAATTTAAACCAATTCGATTATAAATAAAACTTACTTAATATGTTCAATAGATCTAATACTTGAAGGATATTTCATACACAATAGACACCATAACATTTCTTGATTCAAGATACTTTCGAACAAATAAGTAGTATTTATGACATCCTCAATACTTTTATTCATAAGTTCAGAAAGTGATTTTTCTTGTTTCGCGAGAGTTTCGATGGTAACTTGATCCCATCCGCACATAAAATTAAATGATGCAAAAGAATTTTCTTGTTCCCTATGAATATGCATGAGAATGCATACGTGTTTAGTCTTCCAAGGAAGTTCTGGTCTTTTCTCTCGTTTCACCAAATACTCGTTTTTAAATTGTTCTATTATGAATTTTGCTAATTTAATACATCCAGCGTTTACGACCGTGACATCACATTGAATAATAAGCATTTCATCAGTGGACTCTAACCAGAAATCTTTTATCCTGTTTTGAAGCTGAGATTCTGTTTTAAATGTCGATAATTTGTCAACTTGACAATCAACAATTCCATCTAAACATGCTTTAACATCAGTGTTTATGTTAGAAAATGTGTTTATAATAATTTGTAGTCCATGAGAATTCTTAGATTCTTTCAATTCAGTTTGAATATAATCAGCAATATTATCATGATGTTGATCTTCGAAATAGACTTTTTTCCAATGCTTTTTTTCATCATCATCTAACTCTGATTTTTCGGTTCTTATGATACCATCGCTTGAAGCAATAGCCACTAACTTTTCTTTACATTTTATCAAGATTTCTTGGTCGTCACTATTTGGATAATTTTTCTTAGTATCAATAACCAGACTTTGAACAGTTTCATCGGGATCAAATCCAATAAACAGATCTTTTTGTGTAAAATCTTCGTTTAATTTTGATTGATTATCTTGTGTTCCAAAAATCTTTGACATTTGCTCTACCCAAGTTAGTAATTGTTCAACTATTTGAAATTCATGAGTAGTCAAGGTATCTTTGATTGTCATCTTTTGCTTCTCGAATCTATTTAAAAGTGGAGGATCTGCTGTCTTCAATTTTGTTTCATCTAGAACAAGAATACATCTAAATGTTTCGTGAACGTAACTGTTCACATTTTATAAAATATTAAAAAATGAAAATTGTATAAATGGTAATTATAATATATATATATTTATCATATTATTAACGATATACTTACAGCATAGGGTTGGCATAAGCACCAAGAGCTACTCTAGTATAATATTTTGGATTATCTGCACTACCCGCAACGATATAATTCTGATTCCATAGATCATAAAGACTTCCATAAATAATTTCCAAATCAGTAAGAATCAACGGTCTTCCCGTTTCAACACACATCTATATTAACACATTGTTAATATTAATTTTTTTAGAAGAATATATGATATTAAAAAGACGTACGTACCATAATCCTACTTAATACACTGTATGAGTAATCATCCTGATCATCAGGAAATTGTGATCCCAGAATAACGACTGGATCCAAATTCCTATTTCTCAATTTATAAGTTAACCAATTCACTATAGAATCACTTTTACCGATAACCATCAAGTGTCTTGCTTCCTTGTCATCAAGATTTGCATTTATTAAATCTTCTATTGGTAAAGGTATGTACTCCCACTCACGTTGTTGGTTAAAGTTTCTGAGTACTTGTGCAAAGTATTTTTCACACAATTCTTGAGTTTTGTCAGTACCACCAAAATTACGGGTAAGAGCTTTTTGGATATTTTTTGGTGTGAGATTAGTTAACGAAAGGGATTTTACAAGTGCATAATAATCACGTAGGCCGTGGAAATTAGGAAATTGTTGACCAGTTTGTTCATAGATGGAATATGCTTCAGCAAGTGGCTTCAGAGAGACTTTTGTTATGTTTGTTTGAATTTCATTTGTTTCTACCTTGGGACTTAGTAAGCGGACCGCCGTATCAACAAGATCATCAAGATCAAATTTGGGTCTATTTTTTTCGTATAATTCAAAGACACTTTAATTTTTTTTTTTAAAAAAAAAATCACGTATATAAAATAAATAAATTAATAAAGTCAACCTTTGAACTAATAACGCTCTGCTACTTTTACTATTATCCAATCTCCAATTGGATATTCCAATAACCGAAACAGTTGGACCATCGGATCCATAGGGTGGTTCGAGCAGATAGTGAAGGACTTTTAATGGATTAAATGGGCTCGTTTCAGCCAAACCAACTATATTATATAAAAATTATTTTTTAAAATGTAGTCCTAAGAAGACAATTATATATTAAGCAAACAATTATCTTTGTTTTATAATACCTTCATCTAACAGAACAACACTTATTACTGGAAATTCTTTGGATGTCGTTTTTTGATAATTATTGGCTTTTTCGAATACTTTTAAAATACCATCTGATGTAGATGATGACGAGCCTTGATGTGGAATAAGGTAAGCCTATAAATATGAAATAATTTAGTTTAAGAGTATTGCTCGTGGTCTGTATGAAAGTCTGTATTAAAGTTATATTTATACCTGTGGTAACGTTCGGAAGTATTCATCTTCAGAATCAAAACCTTTCAGATTCTGACTTACAAGCCTTACTGCTAATGATTTTGATGACCTATATTAAAGATTATTAGTTTATATAATCCTTAAATTCACTTAAATGGATATATTATTGATGATATTAGTTTACCCGGGAGCTCCAATGATAAATACTGGAATTTTGGTGAGAATACAAACAATCATAACTAAAACATTTTCCAAAAGCGCTTCATTTTTTGCAGTATTAGGAGGACAGGTCATTCTATCTATATAATCTTCTTGTTCCTGTCTAATAATATAATTAAAAATTTCTTCACTAAAATAATACTTTCGCTTTGTTTCTTTATTAATATCATCACTAATAATTAATGCCATCTCTTTGCGATATTCTTTTCTAATTGTCTGATCATATAATCTACATTGATAACAAAGGCCTAATGTTAATACATAACACCTAAGTGAAATATTAATCTCATCATTTGGGGGATATCTCTTTTTCGGATTAATTTGTGGTCTATTTTTTAAACTTTTCTTAAAGAATTTTGCTAGGGTGATGGCTCGTTTCACATCACGAAGACTAACACTATAGGGTTCTTCAACTTTTCGAATAAATATTTGAGACCTAAATATTAATTTTGCAAATGTTTTTGTGTTTGAAAATTCATTTTCTAATTCTTCAGAAACCATTGTTTGAATATATCTCTCTTCTTCTTTTTCTTGAAGAACTCCATAATCCCAAACATAATCAAGGATTTGATCAGGTAACGGTTTAACTTGATACACTAGATCACTACGTTCCTCATATCTAATTTCCTTTTTCTTGGCCTTTGTAGATAATCCAACATTACTTTGATCTTTTGTACGTATACGATATGGATTACATGCTGCGAACAATCTAATATTAGGATGTATTTGACGACCATGGAACATTCTGTGAGCTATTAAATCTGCGAGAAGGCATATATGATTGCATGTATTTATTTCATCAAAGAACAACCATGTTTCAGAAGTATCTGCGATTTTTTGAGCTTCTGTCATGAAAGATAAAATGTTCTCTTCAGTTACCCCGGCGTGTAAGTCTAACGATTTGAATTTAACTTCTACTACTTGTGACAAAAACCCAATTAAACTAGTCTATAAATTCATATTAACCTTTTATTAGTTTATTCATTAAGTATAAATTAATTTGATAAAAATGTTTTAATCACCTTTCCGCACCCTGCTTCGCCACAAACGATTACCTAAACATAAGATTAATTTTTAGAATATAATAGTGATTTTGCCTTAAAAATAACTTTATTGAATATTTGTCTCATAAGGTTATTTTAACAGTAAAATAATAATAATAATTTACCGGAATGCTAGCACGAGCTCTTAATAAAATCAATGCCATTTTAATTATATTATCTGCTGATAAAGCATAACGAGGATACTTAATTTTATGCATAGTTTTTCTCGCTATACATTCTAATTTTTCCAATAATTGTTTTGTATCCATAGTATTATAATTTTCCAATTGAAATCTTCTATTATTATCAGTATTTTGACTCCTTAATAATCTTTTAACATTTTCAGGAACTCGTTTTTCATCACGATATAAAGCACAAATAGAATCTGGTATTTGTGATAAGAAAAATACTAAAAGATGATTTGAATCATCCCAACTAATTATTGATGCTAATTTATCATTAATAATATTATTATTTGATAAAGTAATTGTTGACTCCAATTGAGCAGATTTTGTTTTAACAGATAATGTTGCAAAATCTTTAGATACATCTAATAATGTTCTTAATAAAGTTTTTCTAATTTCTTTTTCTCTAGTCATCACTTTCAAATTTTCAACTTGAAAATATTGACTCGAAGAAAATCGAACCAATTGATCTGCAAATACATTAACAAATATTTCGACAAATCTGAATGATGTAATATCTTGTTTACTTGTACCATTATCGAATAAATATTTATTAATGAATTCTTGACATTCTTCATCTGATAAAGGTTTAATGGCATCAGGTCCAGTTATTTGGAACAAAAGATTTTTAGCATCAATGGTTCTCTCAAAAGCATATAAATAATGACAAACTATCTGAATAGGACTATGTATTTCATTAGATGCCTTGAGATCTCGAATGTCCCATTTCAAATTAGTATTTGCTAGACATTGAACTATGGGTATAGATTTAAATAGATATTGATCAGCAACTTCGATGAATATAGTAGTATTGAGTAATCGAGCTATATGAATACTATTTACAACCATTCCTAAAGTTAATAATTCAAATATAAACATATTAACGTCCAGAGGATGATCAGATGACACTATATTAAGGTGTAAACTTTCAAATGGTTGAATTTTAAATTCTTTAAAACGTTTAACCAATGTTCTAAAATCAACGTTATCATTAATTAAAAAACTTTTTGGTGTTTTCTTTAAGTCAAAACTTTTATTTTTAATCCATTCAGTTTTTCCAAGTCCAGATAATTCTGAGGTCACACAAAAAGCTTCTGGACATAACTCTTGATATATTCTTTTCATCGATTCCATACCAAGTCCATTAGTCGTATGAACATCCTGTGAGAATTGATCCAAGATATGATGATGAACTCCTGGTTCTCTGCAACATATGAGAGCTAATAAATATTTATCATGTTCTTCGCTCATTGACCTAATAATATTAACAAGTCCATATTGTAATTCAAACTCAACTAATTCTAAATTTGCAATACAAAATAGATAACCCTCATATTCATTCTTTGCCGCAAAAAAACATCGTTTAATAAAGATTGAAAGTTCTTCCATGGTAGTTGATGAAGTACATATTAAAATTTGCCAAGGTTGAGGATATGATTCATGATTAACATATAATGACATTATGATATTTGGAACAAGTGATTTGTCATTGCATGCTGCTACAAATAGTTTTCCTGAAAAAACGAAATCTGATTTTACCCTTTCGATTTTACCTTGTGATACTCTTTTTGGTTTATTATAAATATTCCTAAACAAATATTGTAATATCTTTCCTATTACACATAAATCTTTGTAATGACTTTGTTCAAAAACCTTATCTACTAATTCATTTTTTTTATCATTGGTCTCTGTAAATAAAAGTAATTAACAATTAGTTGTTTAAAGAAATAAAAAAATATATATAAAATTTTAAATAATTTACCTTCCGTTGGATTAATAATATCATCAAACATTTTACTTCTATATAGATTATTTAATACTACATCAGGTGGTGGCAATTCGATAAAGTTATTTATAAAGTTTATAAGAACTTTACACTCTTCAATAGTTGAAGCTTCATCTTTGGCGGTTTGTTTAAAATAGTCATAAAATACCAAGATTTGTCTAGCTGGAAAGAAGGTCAAGTAATAATATTGTTCTTGCGCTTTGTTTACAATATTTCCCCTAAATTGAGTGAAATATGGGTTATTAAATCATGAAATTAATGGTTTTTTAACAATAAAAAGTAATAAAAAAAACGAGTAATAGAGATAATAAAAAAACGAATGATGAAAAAAAAACGAGTAACAAATAAAAAGCTCGGTATCATACCATTCTTCCAAATCCGCCTTTAATTCATCAAGTAAATATTCCATTTGATTGACTCCTTTAACATTTTTATTAAATCTCCTATATTTAAAATGACCCATTTGGATCAATTCTGAAGCATATTCGCAAATCTCTTGTGCCAAATCAACTTGTTCTACAAACTCATTCATTGTTTTTTTAGCTGATTTTTGTCGTCGTCCTTCTTCTTCTTCAAGATTTTCCACGTCCATAGTGATACCAGGTTTTGATATTAAAAGAGCACGTCCTCGTAAATCAAGCAAATCATTTAGAGTAAACTTTGTTGCTTGTTTTTCTAAAATTGGAATTTCCTTCTCACTAATTACATGAATTGTATAAGATAAAATAGCAGTACATTTATCATCATTTTCAAGCCGTTGAAAAGTAAAAGTTCCTTTCTTGACAGAATTACTAATTCGTTCCTGGGTGACTTCAGTTTTATTATCAATGTTCTTTACTAGATTTTCCAATGCTTTTCTATTACTATTGCATAATGCAATTTTCTGACCCAACTGTGGATTTGTAGCCACAATCTTTGATAATTTTCTTAAAAACTTTTTCACAGTCAAGGCTTCTTCACTCTTTATTAATGGTACTAAAACTTGATGAACTTGAATTAATGAAGACATTGTTTCTTCTTGTATAAGTCGTTCATCCGATTGATCATCTACACTATTAATTAAATTTTTGATATTATGTTCAGCTATAGATTTAAGCCATTTAACAAATCCACTAGACGTTGACAATGATTTAATTAATTCCCAACAATTATCATCAATATCAGATACCGGTAAATGTTTATTATAATATTTGAAAAAATCATTAAGAGCACCAAGCCATAAATATTCATTTTCAAGAATAATTAACATAGTACCAAGCCAACCATCCTTAATACGTGAAACCTTAAAAATTAATAAGATTTCATTTAATTGTTGAAGTCTTTCAACGTAGGTAGGAAAGTTAGTCATATATTTAATTGTTTGTACCAATTTTTCTGTTTGTCTTATTTTCAAAAAATCAAGTTCCTTTCTTACATTCGAATGATTAACCTTTTGCCAAAGTACAGTTTGACTTGAACAATTAAGTGTTTTCCAATTTTCATATTCATATTGTTGTATATATTTTGTATACGTTTTGATTACTAATGGTATAATATTTCGTACCAAGTTTTCCATTGAAACACTTCCTCCTTCATTTTTTATTATTTTCTCAAAAATATTTTTAAAAGTTTGTGATTCAATAAATTCATATACCATATTTGCAGCTTCTATAGAGATATTATGCTTTATCCAATGACTTGGAGCTTGAGTTTCTTTAAGAGTTAAATTATCTAGTTTTGCTGATCTTTCATTTATATCATCAAGAAAAGAATTTAAATCATTGATTTTATCTTGAGAACAAAATCGGGTGTAAAAAGTATGTAATCGATCTTTTTTATTCAAATAACTTTGGCTTTGATTTCTTAATTTAATAATAGTTGATTTATTAATTCTATCAGAAGCAAAGAATCGAACCAACTTATCATCAGGATTAAGAAGAAGTCTTTGTAAAAATTGAAAGGTAATTGATTCTTGTAATAAGATTATTTCGAAATTTTGAATGATATTTCGAGCTTGTTTAATATAAGGATGAGATTTTAATCTTATAACTTCACCGGTTGGATTTAATATCAAATTCCAAAATCGGGAATGACGTAGAAGAGTTAATGAAGTAGAAGAGATTTCAGAATTAGATTTACCAGACAAAGGATGTAAATCTTTTAATATTTCTACGACATATAATAATATCTCCTCACATAACCTATTTAAAAAAAGTTATATTATATTAGCATATAAAGAATATTATTTATTCATTGTTATTAAAGAATAAATGTTAATTACAAATTAGGAACATCCAAAACATCCGAACCACATGAACAAATCTGTTGCATATTGTGCATCAACGAATCGTCAATATCTTTAACTAAAAGTTTTCCTTTTACCATCTTTGCAAATGGTGTAATAAGATCCTGATCGAACTTGTAAATATGCTTAGTAGCTTTAAAAATTCTATTATCACTACACTGATTACATCTATCAACTGCAATTTCAATCAATCTATTAAATATTTCTGGTTGATCCTTTATCGTTTTATGTATAAATGATAAATTTTCAAACACGTTATAGACATATTTCCAATCTTCAGTAGCAAAATTAGTATGAGCTAACATACTATAATACCACTGACTACAAATAATTGGAATCTTATACGGTGATGTTAAATCATCAGTTTTATTATATTTATTAAACCAGTATTTAAGAAATTTTGGAAATTTATTTAATAAATCTCGGCTTTTTGATAATGAGATTATATGAAGTGCTCGAATATGATGATCTTTACTCCATTCAAGTCGGTCATTTATTAATATATCAGATATAGCATCCGCGTTGTAGATTGTCCATT